GTATCAAACATAAACATTACGAGACACGAGTGCGGCACGAGTACCCGGTAGCACCTTAATGACTGGAGATAGAGAGAGAAAGAGAGGCTTCCTGAAACCTACCAAGGGGCCGGGGCCGGGGCCGGTGCTGGGACCGGGACCGGTCTCCACTTATAGAAATGAGACATTGTACGATTCTGGTTTCGTTTTGTGTAGGTTTTTTTTGTTTTGCGGGTTCCCTTTTGCTATTCCAACGGCGAGTATTTGACCGACCCGCAGACAGACATACAGACAGACCGGCCAGAATAAATGCTAATTTGTGTTGTAGTTGTAGCGGCCGCGTCGTCATATTCCACAGGTAGACACACGGACAAGAGAGCGCACTTCTCTTCTCACTTCTTCAGGTGTGCGAGTGCGAGTGCTTGTGTGTGTGTGTGGGTTTGGGTAACTGTTGCGTAACATTGGCAAAAGACGTTTACGTTTATTTCGGGCCACAGCCTGAACGGTAAACGGCGAACGGTAAAATAGTTTTTGCTTGTTGCTTATTTTTCTTCATTGCCATTAATAACTGTTTGCCTGATAATATTTTAGTTATATTATGCTTCAATTAGTGCCCAAACATTGGGCACCGGCGTTCGGGGGTTAACACTGCTCTTTGTGTGGCCTGGTCTGGTCTGGGGCCCTGGTCCTCTCTCGTCTCCTCTGTTTGGCTGCCTTTCGCTCCCTGTTGGCAACAGTTGGTCGTCGCCCCGTCTCTCTCTATGTAATGTAAATCTTATTCTGATGCTGTAAATTTCCACATCCAATGTCGCAGTTTGTGTTTCGTGTAATTGCAAGCCAAACTAATTTTGCGCGTGAAATTAAGTCCCAATTGGAATGCTGATTTACGGGGGATGCATTTACAAAGCCGCCAGACGGAAAAGCCAACGGACAGACACCTGCAGTAGCCAACCGGATTGCAGTAACTTCTGGAAGATCGATAGATCGATCGAAGAAAGTGCTCTCTCTTAGATATGTACATACATTCGTGCACACATATGAGTGTATGTTCCATAACGGGAATGGGTTTGTTTTCTTGGCACATGTTCATCGGAAGGGAGCGGGCGAGAGAGAGAGAGAGAGAGAGAGATGCAAACAGGAATGGGTGTATGTATGTATGGCTTGCACATACATCTGTATTCGTTTGGAAAATGTTTATCAGTACGATAAGAGAGAGCGAAACGGGCGATCAGATACGCAAGGGGCTAGGCTAGGCCAAAAAGAAGTGAAACATTTGAACTTTGCTCCCCTCCTCGCGAAATCAGGTCGGCCCCTGAGTCAGCAGGCCCGCAAACTCTGTTGCTCCTCTTCCTCTCTCTGCTGTGTTCATCTCGTGTTTGGGTTCAATGTGCCGCCAGCCAATCGATCGCCGGTGGGCGATAAGCAGTAGCGAGAAGACAGTTTCGATCCACCGAAAGATAGAGATGGGAGGTGGGAGAGATGGCAGATGAGAGGTGGTGTTGTGTTGGGTGATTAAGAGCACGAGGGAAAGATGGAGACTCACCGGGCTCGGACTCGCGATCGAGCGACCTATGGACCCAAACGCATGTTGCACGAGCGGACGCGCGTCCGCGCAGGCGGGGAAACGAAACGAGTTTAATACACGGATTTCCAAATAAGGAAACGCGGAACGATAAATACAGACAATACAAGAGCATTACGAATAAATTAGAGAGCCGCCGCTGCCGGCCCATGGCGTTTGGAATTCAAGAAATGCCCAAGTCATCGCGACTCATCATCTTTTGTGCGACGGCTGCGCCCGACACCTAGAGCATAGAGAGGCATGATAACACGAGCTTTGTACTTTGACTTGCCCCAGCCCCGGCCCCGGCCCCAGTCCCAGAGCCCCGAAGCTGCAATCCCCGATCCGCAGCAGATAACGATGTCTGTTGCACTCCCACCTGTCTGACCTTTGGCCACTCATCCCCTACATTTCACTCTTCCCATATTCACATGCCAACTTGAACCGCCTTTGTCCTTTGCAGAAAATCCAGCTATGAGGACAAGATTCAGTACACAATTGCAGAAAAGAAGGATAAGAAGGCGAACAAGGCCCATGTCAATTCAGTATTCTTCAAACAGCTGCGAAAGCTGCTCCGTAAGTGACTCAAATGATGCCCATGACGGCCATGACCCTCGCGTGCATGCTAATGCTCTGCATCTTTGTTATTTTCCAGCCATACTCATTCCTGGATTCTGGAGCGTGGAGACGGGACTACTGTTCCTGGTGGCCGCCGCACTGATTGGCCGTTCGGTGAGCGATATCTGGATGATCCAGAACGCGACGGTTGTGGAGAGCACCATCATACATATGAATAAAACCAAATTCAAGGCGGCACTGCTCAAATATCTAACAGCCCTGCCAGCGGTAAGGCATCACAGTTCTGTCTAGAACTTTGGGAAGTTCCTAATTGCCGATCCCCCCCCTCCAATTGCAGATCTCTGTGGTAACCAATGTCCTAAAGTGGAGCCTGGGCGAGCTGAAGCTCCGCTTTCGCACAAATCTGACGCATCATCTGTACAATCAATACCTAAAGTGAGTTAAGGACTGGATCTGGAAATCTGTACAGACATTTTTATCTGATTTCTCCTCTTCTCCAGCGGCTACACGTACTACAAAATGTCGAATCTGGACAATAGAATAGCAAACGCCGACCAGCTGCTGACCACGGACATTGACAAGTTCTGTGAAAGCGCGACGGATCTGTACTCGAACATTAGCAAGCCCGTGCTGGATATTTTCATCTACGTGTACCGCCTGACGGTGAACCTGGGCGGCAAGACGCCGTCGATACTGATGCTGTATCTGCTGATCGCTGGCGTGTTTCTAACACGTCTGCGCCGTCCCACCGGACGCCTGACGGTCGAGGAGCAGAAGCTGGAGGGAGAGTTCCGGTATGTGAACAGCAGGCTGATCACCAACTCGGAGGAGGTGGCCTTCTATCAGGGCAATGTGCGCGAGAAGCTCACCCTGCTGGCCAGCTACTCCAAGCTGCGTGCGCACCTGAGCAAATTCCTCGAATTCCGCGTCAGCATGGGCATCATCGACAACATTATTGGCAAATGTATGTCCACACACACACACACAAGCAGTATACTGCTAAGCGACTAACCACTGTATCTCTTTGCAGACTTTGCCTCCATCGTTGGCTTCTACGCGGTATCCATACCCTTCTTCACCGACAATCATCCCCTGCTTTCTGGGGAGCAGAGCGGGCAGCGTCTGCAGGCGTACTACACCTACGGCCGGATGCTGGTTAAGCTGGCGGAGGCTATTGGTCGTCTGGTGTTGGCCGGACGGGAAATGTCACGCCTTGCGGGCTTCACCGCCCGCATGACCGAACTGATCAAGGTGCTGGGTGATCTCAACAAGGGCACCTATGAGCGAACCATGGTCAATGGCAACAACATCAACCTCACCCAGAACGCCAGCGGATCTGCGGCGAATAGCTTCGGGCCAAATAAGGGGATCATGTGCTTCGAGGACAACATCATCCGGTTCGAGCAGGTGCCTCTGGTCACGCCCAATGGCGATGTGCTGCTCAATGAGCTGACCTTTGAGGTCAAGTAAGTGGCTGCACTGGTACAGGCCCTTTCGGCCTCTAGTTCATGGCAAATCATTACCTGTTCTGTATTCTCTCGCAGATCTGGCACCAATGTTCTGGTTTGCGGACCCAATGGCTGCGGCAAGTCCTCGCTGTTCCGCATCCTTGGCGAGCTGTGGCCCACGTGGGGCGGCAAGGTGACAAAGCCATCAAGGGGCAAGCTCTTCTACATACCTCAGAGGCCCTACATGACGTTGGGCACATTGCGCGATCAGGTACGCGATTACAATGGCTTACAATGGCAAAAGCCAAAAGGGGGGGAGGTTGACACTCGTTCACACACTGTTCTCTATTACCTGTAGATCATCTATCCGCACACGCGCGAGGATATGCGACGAGTGGGTCAGTCGGACGAGGATCTCATGCACTATTTGGACACTGTTCAGCTGACGTATCTGGAGCAGCGGGAGAATGGGCTGGATGCCATCGAGGACTGGATCGATGTGCTGTCGGGCGGTGAGAAGCAGCGCGTGGCCATGGCCCGACTCTTCTACCATCGGCCGCAGTTTGCCATTCTCGATGAGTGCACCAGCGCCGTGTCCGTGGATGTTGAGGGCAAGATGTACAGCTATTGCCGGGAGGTGGGCATCACGCTCTTCACTGTCTCGCATCGTAAATCGCTTTGGGTCCATCACGACTACTATCTGCAGTTCGATGGACGGGGCAGCTACGAGTTTGAGGCGATCGACCAGGACAAGGAGCATTTTGGCTCCTAATGAGCTAATCTTCCACATTCATCCCGCTTCCATTTTTTCAATGCCCAATGATCGAGAGCAGGCAGCAGTGTGCGATTCTCCAAAACCCACGTGCAATTCCCGCTCCATTTTAGGCTGTAACTTTTTTTGGTGCTGGCAAATCCTTGCTCCTACTCCGCCTCCACCTCTTGGCTCTGTGTCTACCTCTACCTTTACCATTTCTTGCTTCGTTTTGTGATGTGTGTGATTTTTATTTGTTTGTTTTGTTTACTCGCTTATTCTATTCCATAGCTTAATTCTGGGCTTAGTCGGCTTTTAGTTGTATTTTCGACAACAGAGTTTTGGTGATTAGAGATTTAAGCGTAAAGTAATAAACCCCCCTACCCCAAAAGATGACGATCGCGAGAGTCCATATAGCAAAACACATTTTAGTAAATTTATACGACTAATATACACAATACAAATACATATATATATATATATATATAGTACAAACTATATATCGATTTCGCACACAAATACAAATGTTCAGTCCCCCTAGTAAATTGTAAATTACACATTCGATTATCCCATTGTATCCTTTTGCTTTTATGCTTTTGTATTTATCGGTATAAATTGGAGTTGTTTTTTTTTTAAATTAATCTTTTTGCAAAGAACACACGGGCTGTGCGTGTCAGTGCGAAAAAATGCAGTGAAGTGTATATAAATATATAAAATAATAAAAAAATACGAGTGTAAATTAGATTGCTTACTTAGGGCGACACTCGACACTAAGCTAAGATGTCCAATATCGAATGTACGGAGCGGAAGGATCAATTCTTTCGCTTGGGCTTTTTGCTTTCCATCAGACTCATGATGGTCTTGCGCATGTCCTCAGTTTCCTTGAGCTCCGTCTCCAGATGCTCGATCTGCTCCTTCTTCTCCTGCAGCTGCGTTTCCAGCACGGAGACCAGATCCTCACACTTTTTGCGACCCTCGCGCTGCTCCTCGAGGCTCTTGTGCGTTTTGGCCAGCTCACGATCACGCTCCTCAATGCTGCGCACCTTCTCCTTGATGTCCTGCTCATAAGCCAACACGGATTTCTTCAGTTTATCGATGCGTGAAATCTACAAAACAAATGATACGATTTCAATACTGGTTATTTGGAATGCTGCTGCTCGGTCTTACGCTGTCCTTGCTGAGGGCCTCCAATTTAATGAGCTCGTCGCTTTTTGAGCTCAGATTTGTTTTCAGATCTTCGCAATCCTTTCGGAGGCTGGCCACCTCCGATTTCTTAACGGCCAGGCGGCGCTCGCTGGCCTTCAAATGATCCTCGTTCTCGGATAGTTGCTTCAGCAAGTTGCTCATGTTGCTCTTCAGCTTGTGAGTCTGCTGTTTGAGATCCTTGCACTGGGTTTGCAGTCTAAAATAAGAGGGTAAATAAATCATAAGATCCTAATAGTCCTAAGTCCTAATTTGTGATTGCCACTTACCGCTCCTGGCTGATGAGCAGCTCAAAGTTCTTGGTTTGAAACTGTTCCAGTTCAGCGTTCTGGACATTGGCCAGCTGTGTACTGCCAATCAATTGGTTGTTGGCCTGCTCCAGTCGCTGTTGCACTTTCAGCATGCTACTGTTGAGGCTGTCTATGCGATGGTTGTACAGCTCGATCACCTGAGAGACGGGCGCCGACTGCAGTTCATTGCGCCTGACAATGCCGCTTATGTTCTCCAACAGTGCCTCGATGCGCTGCGATAGCTCCTTGTTGGTGAAGGTGCGATGGCACTTGAGGATTGTGTTGAGATTATACCACTGCTTGGGTGCTTCACTGCCGCAGCCGGCGGGCGGAGCGACCGACGAGCAACTGAGACGTCCACTGTTGATGCTTGCCACATGCTTTGGAAGAGCCGACGGCAAGCAATAAGCGATATGGATAGACTAGAAAAGAATGATTGTAGTGATGCTCACCTTGGCCACGGCTGCCTTGGGGAAGCGCTCGAATCGGGCAATCTGTAGAACGGCCTCCACCAGCTGCTCATTGCCGCTGTCCATGCCCCGGGCCAGGGCATACTGCAGTTGCGGCTGCTCCAGCAGGGAGCAGCACTTTTCGAAGTACGCCTTCTTGGCAATGTTGGCAAAATTTATGAGCAGCAGCAGACAGAAGATCGCCTTCTCTACCTCGGCCTGTCCCAGCGATTGGCCGCTCAGGCATTGTGGTGTCAGGGACAGCGGAGCGGCCAGAATTTTGTCAAAGTACGACTCGGATATTTTCGATAGTACCAATTTTTCAGTCTTGGACTCGCGCAGCAGATCCAGCAGCAGCCGCAGAATGGCCACGACTTGAGCGGGCTTCGTTTCGGGCCGCTCGGCACTAGCCACTAAGCTGACTATATTGGTGGGGTCGCGGGCTATCAGATGGGCCACAACGGCACCCTTGCCCCGACGCAGCAGAGTTGAGACAAGCTCAATGGCCGCCACGCCGCACAAATCGGAGGCCAGCCATTCGCCGATCAACTCGTACAGACGCGGTGTGATGGCGTCCAGGCTGATGATACTGCTCTGCTCCTCGGAGAGATCTAGAATGTAGCTGATGAGGCGAAAGACCAGATGAAGGCAGATCTGTTGATGCTTTCGCGTATCCTCGTGAGAGTCGTCCATGGCGCAGCTCGAACTGATTTGCTGAAACGTTTAGCGAGCGACAGAGCATGATAATGAACGACAATGGATCTATGATATGCTTATTGCTTACATCCAAGAGCTTTTCCACATCCTCGCAGTAGTGGCTGTGGGAGAGCATGGCCTGATGGAGGCCCGCATGATCCTTGGAGTCCAACATGTAGTCCACAATGTGCCGCAACTGGGCTACATTCCAGTTCTTGAGGCAATCCTCGATACCCGCAAAGCATGTGCGCAGGAAGGTGTGCAGCTCGCGCTGCTCAAACGCGTGCACATCTTCGGAGAGGATGATGAGCATTTTGTAGGCGAGCAGGCCGTAGTTTATGATCCGTTTGCAGAAGCTGGATATGTTCACGCTGCGCAGGAAGAGGAACAGCACCACGAAATTTTTATAGCACAGATTCACCAGTATCGAAAGGGCCAGCAGGGCGTGCGGTGGCGGTTGCGCGTCGTCAGTGTCGCCCTCCACATTGTGGACAATGTCTACCAGGTGCTCGAGCAGGACTGGCAGATACGGCTCCTCCCAGGCGATGTGTATGCCATAGGTTAGGTCCTGCAACAGGACCAGCAGACGATATACCCGCTCCTCGCGCTCAGTTTTCTTCAAAAGAAAACTCAACATCGGCACAAAGCAGTACTTCTCGATAATGGCCCCACGCGCCTCTAAATTCCGGCTGCAGTGCTGAACCAGCGCTACGCATGCCCACAGCACCTCGCACTCCCCGTCCAGCGCACTCATCAGCGCGTGCAGATCCATAAAAAACCTAGCCAGCTCCAGATTTCCGGGAGTCGGTGCATAATAGTGCGAATGCACTTTCGTTCCCAGCAGCGCGATGCTGCGGTGGAGATACACTAGCGACTCCTCGGACTTTAGCTGGTTGTAGTTGTCTACCTGGCTGCTGAATTCTCGCATATACCCAATGGCCTCCGCCACTCCTGCGTCCTGGTGGGCCAGCGATGAGTGCTGCTGCTGCGGCGACTCGTTGTTGTTGTTGTTGATGGTGCTGCTGCCATTATTGTTAGTGACAACTGTGGGATTCCTAAGCGAAGACATTTATTTATCTTTCAAAATTTTCCACTTTATCACAACAAAAAAATTCGTTTATTTCGAAAGTGTGTGATTTCGCGCTAGTACTTGTATTAGTGATGTAAAAATACATCGATGCATCGAGCATCGATGTTTTTCTGCCGATGTTTACTGATGTTTTCCGATGTTTTTGCTGCTACCGATGTTGAGTGATGCATCGATGTTTTGCAAAACATCGGTACTTTAATTTCATATCATTGCATATCATTGTCTTCTGTAAGCAGAAACACAGCAATGCTAAAGTAAGTAAACATATTTGACTTAAAATGAATCAAATTTACTATAGATGGTATACATTTTTTTAAATACGAAACTGCGAACGCCGTTAACATCATTCGAAGGCAACCCGTTGTGTGTTTGGGAAGGTATGAAGAGTACTGTTCAGTCACAGACATATACCTTATTAATATTACAGAATATACAGTACAATCTCATACACAAATACTCATAAATACAATTGTCCATGTCACTTCATGTCAATGAATATGACGACACGAAAATTACATTAGCAACTAAGAATAGACAATTGCACTTGTAAACTCGAACCCACCAAAAAGGATGAAGCAATAAACTATTTACTTTATTGCTGCCAAGTACCTAAGTAAATGCACTGAAATGTACCACCCGCACAGAGTAAGTGCACCCTATCTAAATATCTAATACACTCACATGGAGCCTGTGCGTTCCTTCCCATACAATAAGAGCACCACTGCTAGCTATATAAGGAGATCCATTTGTTCAATAAAACTCAGTATCAGAAACAGTACCACAACTGCCTGTCACTAATTTTCCCATCGCAATCATCAGAGGCTGTCGCCGTGTCTTCAGATCCTGATTTCGCGCACCGTAGGATACCCACTCCGCAGTCCAACTGGTTCAACTTCTAGTTGCGACGACCAAACTGTAAACGGTTTATGTACCGTATACAACCCAGCTTCCAACAACACAATTTTTAAGTTTTATATAATATAATATAATATAATATAATATAATATAACATAATAATAACGCAATAATAATAATATAATCAAATGGGAAAGTTTTGAAACATCCAATATCGATGTTTGATTTTGACAACATCGATGTACATCGACATCGATGGACATCGACATCGATGTTTTCATTCAAGCTTACATCACTAACTTGTATCACAATTAGTGTGACTGACCCTCAGAAATATACCGAAACTACGTCACATATTTCAAAATATAAATAGTCAGTATAAATATACTGACGAATTCAAGTTATATTTTACATATTCCTCATTTTTGATATTCCGTGGAATATTACTAGCTAGATAGAAAATTTTGCCATGCCCACATAATTTTATATGATTTTTGAATAAATTTTTTACATAACTGGCTTACTCTAAATACTTGCTTTTATTGGATCTTGTCTAAAAAAAGGTTTTAGCGAAAGAGTTCAAACATGTATCATATTTGTATGGTTGGCAACGCGGTATAGCGCCAAATCTGCCTTTTCGACAAGGTTGGCAGGTCCGTTTTGACATGAGCGCGTATTAATTTGAATTTGTAAAATATACGTTTTTTTTTAACGCAGATTTCTCTATGCTGAAACGGTGAAAAATGAATGAAAAATGTTTGAAATGCTCCATTGGGTAATGAAAGCCGTTAGAAACTCTACAATACATTTAATTTTAGCAAATCACCTTAAATTTTTTACTGTTTTTTCATTAAATTCAAATAAATCCTAGATCCCTATTTGGTGGTTAGGCGGTTCAGCTTTGGGTATTTCATTTTTGCACAAGCAAATACACGAGCACACACACACACGTGCCTTATATTTCAAATGGCGCATAAAATTTGAAAAGTCCATGCAAAATCAAAACGAAATTTCTTTGCTGGACAGCAGCGCCCCCCCACAATGTGGACAAGTGGGACAAGTTGGTTGGGGCTCTACTCTGCGTTTCTCTGGGTGGTATGGTGGGGCCACATGTGTGTCCTTCCATCCTGCTATGGCTGCTGCTGCTGCTACCCTGCTACCCCCTTCACATCACTGAATTACGCATGCTTTCAGCTCTAGGCATTGTTTGGCTAGTGGTGAGTGGGTTGGGGGGGTGCCTATGTATGTATGGCTGAGCTTCAAAATGTGCAGAAAGCATAAGCCTAAGCTTTTTTATCGTTTCGGCCATGAGGCAGGCCACGGTCAGGGCCAGGACCAGAAAAAGTGAAAGAGGGAATATTTAAATGGTATGCGTATGCGTGTATTTGTGTGAGTATGTATGTATACATACATATGTGCTGGCTTTTGTATAGTTGAAAGTTTCAATATTGGCTCTGCAAAGGATGTGGAGGAGGAGGCTGTGTGGGTGAAAAGTGTTTGCCCAACTGCCCAAAAAACGTCCACAATGACAGCGCATAAGTATACTCACACACACGCGTACGCACACGGCTCTGCTCTTATATGCGTATGTATGTAAATATATTTACATTATTCATACACACACACACACACATGGGCACTTTTGAGAAATGCGTTTTATTCAAAAGCGGAAGCAGCCGCTTTTGACCAAGGAACAGTGGGATGTGTTGGGGTGGTGGGCTATTTTCTATAGATAGATTCAATCCCGAGTTGATTTTGCTATGTCCATTCTTTGTAAGCCACGTGCCAAATCCTTCGTTTCACCATTATCTACAAATTTAATATCACAGGAACACCAGATCTTAATGTATATACGCGTAGATCTTAATAGAGCACTCCTCAAGTCCGCTATCCCACAATCGTATGGCCTTCTATGTACCTCCTGCGTTCCCTATTTTGTAATTTACTTTAAGTAGTTCTCATATACATATGTACACACACACACACACACAATTTTCAAAAGGGGGGGGGGGGGGGACAACCAATTGTCACATTCTCAAATACAAATACACTTGCACGCACACACATACAGAATGGAAAGTTATGTGATTATATGTATGTGTATCCCGCCCTTTTGGGGGATGGCCGATTGAACAGGAAACTTCTCTCCAGGGCATTCGCCATTCAGTATGCAAAAAAAATAATATATACACCCCCCAAAAAAAGCAAGTGTGAAAACTGGGAAAAACTGGAGCGACTATGGCGTGTACCTCTGATTCGATTTTCCTTTGAAGGAATTGGAAGCCGTGGCAGTGGGGTGGTAGGGGAGATCTGTGGCATCTTAGATCTTTTGAGAGCCTTTATATTCAATAACCATTATAAAAACTATATTCCTTGACGGCAATGATAATGGAAACGCTTAGATGGCCAGCCAGAGCTGGATGGGTAAGAACAGTACTTACCATTTTACCAGCCTACCATTTGAATATTATGGTCTATCGCATAAGCCTTCAATGGAAATAGTTTAATTTCCTCTATGAAATACCATCTAACGAGTGTACCCCATCAACCCCATCGAATGCTGGGTGTAAAACAACAACAACAATTTCTCATCCTTTTGTTTGCCCAGCCATCAACAGTGTCCTGTCCTTCCGCCCCCACAACCCCGCGTGTGTGTGTGTATATGTGTCTGCGTCCAGATTTATCCATGTGTGTAGGTGTGTGTGTGTGTGGGTGTGTGCCTGGCGTAAGTGTAAGCCGCTTTTAGGCGCTGCTAACAGAGAAAAGCGCTTTAAAAGGTTTTAAATTTAGCCCACAGGCTGGAGGGGGGGAATGGGGAAGGAGGAACAGCAGCAGCAGCAGCAGCAGGAGGAAAGTCTCCTGATGGATGGGGGCAGAGGGAGCTCTGAAACTGAAAGCAACTTTCACTGCGATCTCGTGATCATGACCCGCCTTAACATTGATACCCTTGAGCAGGGCCTGTTGGTCTTTCTGCTTCACTCCTCGGCACTGCATCGAATGCAACCAAATGGGATTGTTCAATCAAAAGGCCGCTCGCACACACCCCCACACAGCGATAGACACGCACACGCACAAGCACACGGATCACATGATCACGGATCGGGGAAACAACATTTGGACAATGGACACCAGACAACAGCAGAACAGTTGGGACGGTGGGACAGCAGGACATGAACATGGATAGGTTTTCAGATAGATCTCTGTTGTTTTGTCTTTTCTACCTGCGATGCCATTATTTTTCCTGATTTTCCACTGGATTAAGTGAAGAAAGGTGTGTTTGTGTGTGCGTGTCTGTGTGTGCAACAAAATCTCGTTTTCTTATTCTCCTTCTTTCCATTTCCCGCTCTCTCTCTCTATCTGTCTCCTTCTGTCTGTGCCTCATTGTTCCACACACACACACACACACACACACACACAGGACGCACTCATTAACGTGGCATGCAACAATAAATTACCACAATTCGACATACGGACAACACTGAGGGACGTGAAAATGGGAAAACTTCTGCTCTCTCAGCCGTCCTTGAGCTCTCAGCGTTTATGCGGCAACTAAATCGTGATCATGAACTGAAGAGTGGAGTCAGAGAATATATCTCATGTTACGCAGATTATGCAGATAGGGCAAATTAGGGCTTCGAGGATGTCGACTCAAACGTTCTAGTATAAAATGTTATACTCTATGTATTTATATATAATCATTCACTTTTTATTTGTATGTGTTGTGTTCTATTCTTTCCAGTAAGGTTCTACCTCCGCCCAGGCCTAAGACCTTTTGCTTACAGAAACGTTTCTCCTTGCATTCATGATACGAGTATTACGTATTCTTTTACGCATAAACCATGGTGCATGGTTCTCGCAACCTGATTTTCTATCGGCAACAACAACCACTGCAACTGCAACTCCAAATGCAAGTACAAGTGCCTCGACTCGCCCACTTTTCCCTTGTTCTCTACTCGCTTCCCGTTCCTGGCTCTTTGCTGTTCGATTCGATTTGAGTGCGTTTTGCCGAGCACAGGAAACTCCGTGTGGTGTGCCCATCGTCTGGCCGTCGTCGTCGTCGTCATCGTCGCCACCACCTGTAGATTTTCTTGATTTCGGCCCTGGCTGCATTCGAAATGATGTACGGCG